CAGTTGAAAAACTTTTTTATAAAATGTACTACAGTACTGTACACTAATGTACAACAATTTTTATCTTTTGAGTAAAATATATGACGTTTATATTCAAATTATTGGCTGTCTTGCAAGGATTCCAGCAATGCAAATTATAATCTCCTAACTTTAGTCTGAGATATTATATAAGATAAAAACTGTAAGCCTAAAAGCCTGGTTGGGGGGGACTAATGGCTCCGCCACCCAGAGATGGGTTGGTGGGTGGGGGTGGGGGAAGGGGGGGGGTTGAGGTGATAAGTTTGAGGCGAAGGTCTCTGTGTGTTTTTTAACAGTCCTACTAAGCTTCTCTCATTTTAAAATGCCAGAGATATGACCTAGGAAAATATAATTAACATAGCTGGGATTCTTGTAAGATACTGATTTATTTGAATATAAACATGTTGTAATTCGCACTAGACATAACAATTTTAGTACCGTAATCAAATAAGTACATGTGCACTCCAGCTTTGCACTAATTTATTTTACATTTCTTTTAGTATGGTGTGTGCATATAAATGGATGAAAATAAATGAAGAAATTTATGTAAATCTACCCAAAAAATACAGTTGAAAAACTTTTTATAAAATGTATTACAGTATTCTACACTAATGTACTACATTTTTTATATCTTGAGCAAAATATATGATGCTTATATTCAAATTAATCTCTGTCTTGCAAGGATTTCAGCAATGCAAATTATATTATCCTGACTTTAGTCTGAGATACAATATTATATAAAATAAACATAAAGAAATCACCAATCTTTTATCTTGAACATGAGGGTGGTGGGAAGGGGGGGGGAGAGGTGAGGTGACAGAATGTCTGGCGTTTGTTTGTTTATTTATTTGAGACAAGATTTGACAGTTGGCGCTGAAGGCCTGCGTGTTTATTTATCATTACTTAAGAGTGACTAAGCTCTTTTCATAATTTGCCACCCAAACGACCTGGGTGAATATAACTTACATTGGAGGGATTTTTGTAAGATAGTAATTTATTTGAATGTTTTTTTTTTTTCAATTTAAATTTTAATTGTTTATTCCTTGATAGAGGAAGTGGGATCCTAGTGCTGTCACTTGGTACCCCTGTACCATAACACCAGAAGCAACTGGCCAGTGTCACAAGTATATACAGTACAGTCATCCCTTGGTTATCGCGCCTAATTGGGACCCCACCGATAACGAAAGTACAGAACCTATGGGATTTATTCTAATTGGTTCAGGCACCCAAGACCCAACCCCAAGTTTCCCATTTTACAACCATTTAGACCCACTAAATATATATATAATGTTATGGTAAATATCATAAACACACATAGGCATGGCTAGGTTTATTACAAAGTGATGAAAAGGGTACGCTTAATACTGTAGTCCACAAAACATGTAGCTATGCTTTTTTTATTTGGTCCCCCGTCATACAAGTCCGTTTTCTCTCACATCAGGACGCCTGAGTCCTCCGTTTTCTCTCTTAATCTTAGAGTGCACCAGAAACTTTACTATTTTTAGTAATGCCACAAAATTTGAAATTGCAACCCCATTGCGAGGCAACTAGATATGTCTGATTACAGCAAATGTGTTATTGTCAATTTGTAGGTGAAAAATTTTATCCTCAATAGATGTAGGTTAACATTTCACCTGTAGGCAAATGCTTAAAAAAAGCCTAAGTAAGGAAGCATATTCCTTTAACACATAATATCGGACCAGTATGGGGAGGATCATCATGTCTCCATCAGGGGGTCGTGGAGTGGTGGTCCAGCAGGCGTCACTTTTAGGCACAACGGACGTTGTTCGATGAAACCATGACTCAGAAAAGCGTTGAATGACGTACGGTAAACATCTTTTGAACGTAAGGATTAAGCGAAAGTCATTGCTTTCGTCACAATTTTATCCCACTTTCCTCTGTAATACGTACGTCAATTCAGCAAAAATATTACATTTCCATATTCTCAGAAATAAAAAGTAGTTTTGTTGAAACGTAATGTACAGTATTTAATATTAAAATTCAAAAAGAGCTATAAAAACAATTAATACTGTACACCCGTAATGTACTGGCTGGCATCTCCACTCGTCCCTGCTCCCGCCAGTCACCACTCCTCCCCGCTCTATCCCTCCGCCTCCTCCACATCGTCACTACTGTTGTATTACAATAATATTGTATCCTAATTGACTTGAATAAATACTACGATACCATATTTCTGAATATTTTCATTAAAATCCATCAAAATCATTTTCCTTGTCATCGTCTTCAGCACCAAACAGCTCCTCCCAGTCTTCTCCTTGAACAGGGCTAGAGGGTACGTGTTTTTCGAATCGTTTTCAGTTAAAAATATGTTACATCACATGTATATTTTACCTAAACTGCGCCTGAATGAATATATTCTCAGAAATAAATAGTAGTTTTGCTGAAACGTGATGTATTTCAATGTAAAATAGGATAAAATACATGACGAAAACAAAAGACTTTACCTAACCTTCCGCTGTTCAAGAGATGTTACTCGGTTTTTTAATAGTTTTCGGTTAAAATACTGTTATATTTCAATGATATTCAATTCATACTGTGCTTGGTATACTACATTCACGGAAATGTAATATTTTTGCTGAAATGACGTACGTATTACAGTGGAAAGTGGGATAAAATCGTGACGAAAACAATAACTTTCGCTTTCTTTCGTTCAAAAGATGTTACCGTAATCGCTTTTTGAATGGTTTTCAGTTAAAAAAACTGTTGCATCAAGTGAATTAGGATAGAATATTATTGTAATACAACAGTTTTTTTAACTGAAAACCATTCGAAAAGCGATTACGGTAACATCTTTTGAACGAAAGAAAGCGAAAGTCATTGCTTTCGTCACTTTCCACTCTAATACGTATGTCATTTCAGCAAAAATATTACATTTCCATATTCTCAGAAATAAATAGTAGTTTTGCTGAAACGTAATGTATATCAATGTTTAGGATAAACTACATGAAAACAAAAGACTTTACCTAACCTTCCTATGTTCAAGATATGTTACTCGTTTTTTTAATAGTTTTGGGTTAAAATACTGTTATATTAGTGATATTCTATTCATACTGTGCTTGATATAATACATTCACGGAAATGTAATATTTTTGCAACTATACAATGCTGATGTCAACACAAGTGTGGTTACAGCGAGACTGACTGAGTGAGGGAGAGCTATGCGTGTGTGTGTGAGAGGTTGCGGGAGCGGGTGGTGTCCTGTGTTCGGTGCCGTGCGCGAGTTGAATGGCTCGCGATTTGAATGTACTGTACTTCAATTACTTCAATGTACAGAATATTCCTCCGGCGGGGCAATCCGCGTACTTGCAAATCCGTGTATTTGCAAATCCGTGTATTTGCAAATCCGTGTATGCTAAACCCGCGTATGTTGAGGGCCGACTGTATTATGTTAAAACAAACACTAATAAATCAACACAGCTAAAATTAAGGGATGTGAAATGGTCTGTTTACTGGCTGGGAAGATAGGGGGGAGGGAGGGAGGTGAGGTGATATGTTTGACAGTTGATGCCAAGGTCTAGTGCTTATTTATTTATCTGTCCTTAAGAGTGACTAAGTTTTTCTCTTATAAATGTCATGAACTGACATGGGAGAATATAATTAACATTGCTGGAGTTCTTATAAGATCGTTTTAATATGAATATAAACATGCTATAGCTCGCATTAGACATACAAATCTTAGTTCTAATTTAAGAATTTTAGTACAAAGAGCAAAAATTTTTATATCTTGTGCAAACTATATGACGTTTATATTCAAATTATTTGCTGTCTTGCAAGGATTCCAGCAATACAAATTATATTCTCCTAACTTTAGTCTATGACATTATATAAGATAAAAACTTTAAGCCTAAAACACCAAACCCTGGCTGGGAAGATGTGGGGGGTGGGGGGAGGGGAGGGAAATGACAATGACATGTTTGACAGTTGGCACCAGGTCTAGTGAAGTATTTATTTGTTTATTTATGTCCTTTAGCTTGAGTTTATGTTTTTGCTTATAAAATGTCACAGAAGTGACCGGGGAGAATATAATTTACATTGCTGGAATTCTTATAATAAAATGATTAATTTGAATATATTCATGCTATAGTTTGCACTAGACAAAAATTTTAGTAATCATTTAGTACATTATTTTTAGTACATGTACAATACAGCATTGCCCTTAGGACAGTGTAGCGTGCCCAGAGAAACATTAGGCGCAAAATTTTAAATACCAGTATGATGTGCCAGATTGACTCGCGCAAAATAGGAAAGATTCGCTTTGAATTAAAACATTGTCCTTAATTGTGGGTGTCACTTTAACTCTTTAGGTGCGTAATTAAATTTCGCGCCGGTTCCTGAAAAGTGTCAATTATCCTGCCAAAAATGAATTTCATATAATCACATTTTCTATATGTTTTTCCTCGAGAACTTTTAGTATATTTTCCAAATCTGGAACAAAAATTCACATATGTGTGCAAATTTTAGAGAAAAAATGACATTTATACCCAAAAATGCAGGAAATTGGTATAAATCAATGTCTGGTATATGGCAAATAAATTTAATCAATTTGGTTACTAAACAGCAAATTTAGATATGTATTACATATTCAGATAATATCAAACAAAATAGTACAAAAATAAGCTATATTGCATTCAGGAAATACTCCTATACCTCAATCCATAATATGTCCGCATGTCGTCTCATTTGGGGAAGTTTTTTCAAGGCCGTGGGATATCCCCGCTTGTCGCATTTAATTAATATAATATTTTGGGCGGGTTTACCCGCATGTCGCATCCAAAGGGTTAAATCAATAATCTTTAATTGATTTGCTTTAAATCAACGTTCTACTGAAGTAGAAATCCAAGTAGCTAGATATGTTAGCATCCTATTTACCTCAGATAGTCTACACTACAATTTTCACTGTATAGTTTCTGCTTAGCTTTCTTTTGTACCCTTTAATGTAACTTATTGTACAATATTGACAGGTATATGGCATGGGCAGTTCAGAACTTTCCCATTGTGACTACTCGCTACTTGCGTCAGGCTGGTGTGGAAGATCCCATGGGCGGTGCCCGGCAGTATGCTGGTGCTTGCAGTGATCCTAAGAGTCTTGAAGGTTAGTTCCAACATTTTTCAACTGTTCATTATTCAAAAACCTTCTCAGGTTACACTCCTAGTTTTTCCAGCAAAAGTGTTTTCTTTTATGCAAGTGGCATCTTACAATTGCACTTGTCAGAATTCTCCTTATTAGTTGAGAATTTTTAATGTAATACCTTAAAAGAAATGTTCCGCTTGTTACATAAATGGTTAAACAATCCTAATGTCTTACTTGTGATGAGGAAGTGTCCTGAATTTTATGAACACAATGAAACTATAATGTTTTATGGTACAGTAGTACATAAACATTTTTGTAAGTTTGTACCTGGAATTGAAAATTAAACTGTATGTGAAAAATATTACCCTAAGTCTTGATCCTAAAAGTCCTGATTCATGACAGTGTTGGGTCAAGGAGACTCATAATGTTATTCATCAAGTCTATAGCTAACAACCCAGGCTAAGCCATTCCATGAGCAGCTGGTAGCCCTTGAAAGAGGGGTCTAGTTTGTGGCTATTTACCACTTAAGGTTTGAGAATTACTGGAATCTTGGTACTACAGCAACCTGTGCCATCATCTTTCCTTGTTCATCGTCAGTCGTACTGGGTTTCCAGCACCAGATCTCAGATCAGCTGAGCTCAACAGTATGACTCAAGGGAGGAAGGAGGTTTCCAAGTCATCTTGGCCCAACTTGGCCTTAAAAAGGACTATCCAGAATTAGCCCTTGATTTATGGGTTATCAGACCAAGAAGACTCATTGCAGTATTCTAGAGTCAGCTACAGAAAGAGAGGAGAGGCAAAAATAGACTTCAGTGCTACTGATCATATTCATCCCAAAAGGGAGACAACTAGAAGTTGCAGTAAGGAGATATCAAATCCTCTAACTTCCCAGTACCACTCAGTATTTCTACCTTGTTACCTAATCTAGGCAGCTTCTGGTAAGGGTTACTGTCTAAAATTTAGAACCCTTTTTATAAAGTGTCTACAGCAATAATAGGAAGTATAGAATAGTCTTGAGTGGTGAGTGAGCCAAATGAGTGGCCCTCCTTCACATCAGTGGCTACAAGCTTGGACTCATGCATGTACTGTACTTTTATCATGACCCCTTACCTTATTTACCTAATGACCACCCACTAGAGGTGATCATGCCAAGGGAAGGAAGCCAGTGGCCTGTGTATGGTTCCTCCATTGTTCTTGATAATTCTGACGAGCTATTTTGAAGTCCATTACTGTTCTTGATTCCACAGCTTGAATTGGTTGACTGTTCCATAGGTCTGCCGCCCTCTGTGTGAAAAAGTAAAGTAAAATATTTCCTTATATTTGTTTTGCACAATAACTTGGCAAGCTTTTAGCTATGTACTCTCATGTTGGTGGTGCTTGACATCACAAAGAAATGTCTTGGGTTCACGTTATCAATCCTTTTCAGGATTTTGAATGTCTCATTGAGATCTGTCCTATTTTTATTAGGGGTACAGTACAGTATCATCAACATAATGAAAAATACAAATTTCTACTTACTCTCCTAAAATCCTCAGTGAGACTTCTGGCTGACAGCATTTTCTATTAGGTTTCTCGTGTTAGGAGTCAGGGAAGTGCAGATGCATCACTATTCAGCTTTGAAGTTTCCATCAGTCAGTCAGACAACCTATAGTGTTCTGCTTCTTAGATTTTATGTGTCCCTTAGAAGAAAATACTTGTTCACATGTGTATATTGATCCAAAGACTAACAACAACTTTGCAGTGCAGTATCAGAGAACTGCTCCAGGGATATTCAACCAGAGTTCGTGTGTACTATTTACTTATTTGTTTGCCTTTTAATTTCGTCTTCATTCAAGATATGTATGTGACTCAGTTCCTCCTCAAACTTTCTTTTATCAAACCTAAGCCTTTCATATACTGTGCTAAACTTAGTAAAATCTAATTACAGTGGAGTCTGCATTTACGTGGTCAATTGAACCCGTGGAAGCCCTCGTAAAACGAGAAACGCGTAATTGAAATAACAGAACATATGGGATTAATTGAAATAGAGACTGGGCCGACCCCCAAACTCAACTTTTTCCGACACAATACCTACGTTGTAGTAAAAATAACATCTTAATTTTATGATGGTATGCACACACAATTAATATTTAAGAGAAATACAGTTGCCGGTTAATGTCCATTCAAATAATGGACTCAACTCCCCACCCCCTCCCCCCCCCACCCCCTCTTCCCACGCTTGCTGGCTCCTCCCTCTCTGAGAAATGTTTGAGTGAAAACAGTAGGCTTACATTTTTAGTAATAAATAATACCTCAGACTAAAGTTAGGATAATATAATTGGCATTGCTGGATTCCTTGCAAGACAAGGAATATTTTGAATATATACGTCATATATTTTGCACAATAGATAAAATTTTTGCTCTTTCTAATCAAAATTCTTAAATTAGATCTAAAATTTGTATGTGCAATGCAAATTTTATGATGTTTATATTTAAAATAATCACAATCTTATAAGAGTTCCAGCAATGTAAATTATATTATGGCTGGGTAATTTGTTTGAATTTTATGAGCTAAAACAAATATCTTCAGTAAATACAGTAAACAAATTATACTTCACCCACGTAAATGACTAAATTTACCGTGTAATTAAAGCATTTCATTCTGCCAAGGCATCACGTAAATGACGAAACGCGCAAACAAAAGCCGCGTAAATGCAGACTCCCACTGTAAATGGATTTGAAAGCAATGAGAGGAAAGATTTTGGATCACCCAGAGAAAAAACTTGGTTCTTAAATCACTGTGCTAGAGTAGATTACACTCCTGTATTCTTCATTTTCCAGATCAAAGCATTTGTGAAGCATTTCTTATTTAAATTTGGAGAGTAAATGAAGTTGTGTGATGCTAACTGAGTAAACATTAACTGCAGCAGTACTGTGAATTTTCTAATACCTAACAGTAGGTGTGGACAAGAAATTTTAACTTTCCTAAATGGACTCATTCTACTTGTTCAGATGACCAGTGCTACCATGAGGGTATCCACATGCCACATGAAGCCCTTAGGCTTGTCCACAGGGATTTTTTTCTTTAAGGAAGTTAAAGGTGTTACTAAACCTCAGAGATCATAACTTTTTTAATTAACAGCCTTGCTGTAAAATTCCAATTACAGTACTGTACAGTACTCTACCTTAATTACCATTTTGGAAATAAGTTTTTGGATTCTCCTCATTATATCAGTCTGTGGTTTTGAAGAAAGTGTGCACTAATTTGAGCTAATATCTAATTCCAATATACAGTACAGGTACTGTATCCCTCGCTTTACGGATGGGTTTGGTTCCTTAAAAACCATTTGTTTGATGAATTTTCCGATGTCAAAAAACATTACATTTGGGAAAAATAGGGTTCGGTTCCCCAATGACAAGAAAACCCGAATATCATACCTAAAAAAAATAAATTAAATCAGTTCACAGACAACAAAAAATTTAATTAACTACCTTAAATTAGCACCTAACATGCATGCAAGAAATTGCACACTGTAGTTACTAAATGCAAATCTTCACCATAGACTGAAGCCACCTCATTATTATCCCAAATGGTCTTACCACCAACCTGACCCTCTCTTGATTGAGTAGACCTTCATGTGATTAGTGATTGAGTCATCCTTTCCACAAGGCTTCAGCAACTCATGAAGGAAACAAACCATTTCAGCTCCAATATCCTTCTTGAGTAAAGCACATCCTGTAATATTAGGATCAGAACCCTGTACTGTAATAGGGAGCTAAGGTGTTCAACTGAAACTGAGGCAGCAGCAAAATCTGCTATAAAAAGCAGGTTAATGTCTAGAATATTCTTTCTAATAGATAATACTCATGTATAAAACAGATCACTGCACAGTACAACAAAATCATAAACAGGGTATCTGATGTGAGTGTATCAGACACAAAGCAACCTAGCACATGCCAGCAGTGCAGCACACACCATGTTTCCAAAACCATCATGAGAAATTTGCTGAAATCACTCAAGATCATTAGATGATTAAAAGATCTCCTTTGAAATTACTCTTTAATGTCTTAAGTAAATGCGCTACTGATTTCATGAGTTTACAAGATCATTATAATTTAACTTGAAGAAGGCTGATCCCGTGACTAGACTAACCCATATTTTTCCCTCCAAGATGCGGAAAGGGCTTTGGATCTGCTTGTACTTTTAGCACATGTTGGAGGGTATAACTCAGTCCTGCAGTTTAGGTTTGCACAGATTGTTGTAATACTGACAAATATTCTAGCTTTACCGAACCAAAAATTTGCAAGTTTATTCAGTATACCATTCAAAACCTTAAATAAGAGATTTTTTTATTAGCTCTTTGCCAAGTTGATGACTGATACTGTATGGCTTTGGGGCTGTGTTACACCCAGTTATTCTCCCTTTTCCTTTTTAGTTTCTCATCATTTTGTAGGCAATTATTTTTTTGGCCTTGAGATTCAGACTTACTGTGATAGTGACCTGAGAATATTTCTTTGTCTTTCAGAAATAAACTATCCCAATATTATATCTGCTTTTATTCAGATCAAACATTGATGTACTTAGTAAAGATTACAATAGTGAATACTATAGCCTTATTAGAGACTAAGTAAGGAAATGTATCATGATAAATGACCCAGCATGCCTCCCAAAATTTGATGTGATAATACGGGTATCCCTCACTACACGAACGTTCACTCTACAAATACTGTATTCATTTGTATGGTACAAATATTCTATTCTTTAACTCTTTCTCACTGTACAAAAGCTATTGGTCCTTTAAGGTAATGAAACAAGTTTATATTTCATAATTTTTTAATGCTCTAGGTGCTAAGTTACAGTACAGTAATTAGTTACTAATTTACAGAAGTTAGGTTGATTTTTTGTTGCATGTGAATCTATTTAATTTTTTCTAGTTACAATATAATATTGAGGTTTTCTTGTTATTGAGAACCAAGCCCTATTTTTTCCTTTGTGTTATATTATTTGATATAGGAATATTCACCTAAAGAATGGTTTTCAACCTAACCCATTCGTATAGTGAGGGATCCCTGTACACCCTTTGCATTGGTGATTTGTTTGGGGTAAATCCATTAAACCCATATATTGATTTTTATGAAGTGCAGTATAATAATGAATTACACATATATGTGCCCGAGCTCACTATTATTTATCAATACATGACAGTTTAGCAATATGAAAAATTACCAAATAACTGAAATTTGATACAATACTGTACAATAAATACTGCACTGTATTTAGGTTAAGTCAAACATGAAGATATCACATCACTCACAACTCATCTCTCTTGCATGACCTTCACAATCCTCTAATTAAGGTATTATTGTACTGTACAGTACTTTTATTTTCTCTCTATCATTTTATGGTTTTGGTTGAGTATTTTCTGTACATAGATTTAAGGTATAAAACTTTTTTTTTTCAACTTCAAAAACTTACCACCTGATATCAGGATTTCCTCCAAACACTCATTGGCAAAGAGTTAAGAGTGAAATACTGTGCCTGTATAGTTCTCTCAAATTTATTGAAAAACCTTTTCACAAACTCAAAAAACACTATGTAGTTCTTTCCCATGGCCAGGAAGAGTTAGTTTGGTATTAGTATTTACTGTGATGTGCATTGAGCTAGTCATATTGCAAGTCATTAATGTGGGCTAAGCTACCCCTTCAGACCTGGTGCAGTTTTGACAAATACATACACAGAAATCTTTTCATCATTTGCTTTCCACAGTATTAGTGATGTATCAGATGGTAACTACAATATAATACAGTATAAGAAAATGGTTTGACCAAGAATGGTCATAAGCTTCATCAGTACAGGTTGGTAAATAAATTGTCAGTTAGTCAGTCTATCAGGATTTGTATTCATAAAGCTGGCTGATGCTGCTATATATGGTGATGGTATATTTTTACAGCAGTGCAGGAGCTGGTGGGCTGTGATGGGGAGAGTGCAGCTGACCAGTGCCTGGGTAGGTGTGTGACCCATCCTCCCACTCCTGCACTGGCAATTCTGACTCCCACACAGATTTTATATGTGGCTACTAATACATGTATAGTCCACAACAAACTTGGGGTACAGAGTTCTGTTGTGCCACAGGACAATTTGTTATTGATTTGTATTTTGTCTGTCTCTCTATTTACACTTTTTACATTCTTTCTGATTCATATTTAGCTCACCTGTGTTGATAATCTTACGAGATAACAATTGGGAGTGGATTTTGTCGATCAACATTTTCTTTAAACAATACATATATCTTAAACAACTTTGCAGAATTTTATTAGTCTTCACATTACATCCTTGTACAGTATAGTATTAAGTTCTCTAAATTCTTTACACACCATTGCTTATACTAAAGATATACTGTACTGTACATTATTATTAAATTACAAAAATTACCAAATTTTTTCATGCTATATTGCTGCTTTTTTCTGTCCAAAAATATTTTCTAATAAGTTTCATATTAATGTGCATTAATACCCTTACCAATGGTTGTCGGTGGAATGCCAAATTCAAATATCTTAGTCAAAGGTCAAGGCCACAGGATGGTCAGATGTCAAAACTTTATCCAAAGCATAACTTGTAATGAAACTTTACATGGATATGTTTCACCACCAGGCAAAGTACTGAGGACCAAATTCAAATGTCTGGTCAAACAAAGGTCATGGCCACAACTGCAGGTCAGAGTTCAAAATTTTGTCAGGATCATAACTTGTATCATGTCAGATATTTTAGCCAGTTTCACAAGGATGTGCGTTATGACTAGACAAATGCCGATTACCAAACTGAAGTCTTTATGTTAAATAACAAGGTCACAGAAGAGTAAAAAGTCAAAAGAAACAATAATTCAGGTCAATGCACAATATTGCATGTGCTTTGGAAAAAATGATCAGGTGAGCAATTCTTGTTTCTCTTTCACTCTCATCTTCTCTCTCTCTTTCCTGTGTCTCTTTCTTTACATTGGAGGGAAATACATAATGTTTAACTTTGTCTGTCCATTTGTCCTTTTGAATTGTTTCTATTCAATAACTTCACAAGGCTTCGTGGACTGAAATGCAGTTGGGTAAGTGGACTAGTACTCGACCATTTAATCTTTATTTCTAACTTAAAAAAAATCATGGTAGTCTTATTTATAATAATTGATAATTCATTTTGATGTCAATTTATAGGCAAATTATTGTACTTTATGCCACACATATTGTAGTTTTACAGATTTAATAATTAATTTTTATTAATAATGATTTATTAAACTGGTTGAATATATAGATAGTACTCAGTCACTTGTGTTTTTCTTTGGGTTAAACCTAATAATATATATAGTCAGCCCTCAAGTTACTGAAATGTTATATTCCTGAAAAATTTATAATTCAGTAACCTGAATAGTATCTTGAAACCTATTTTCCCATAGTTTTCCACTATGTAATAAGAAATGTCTCCACATGGACAAAATCTCCCCCAACACTCTTTAAGTACACATTTAATTGAAAAAATTAATTTCTTATAAACCTTGTACATACAGGTACTGTAATCTTATTTATTTCATGGGTTTTGTTCTTAAAGATCATTCTAATGTGCAAAATTACATTTACTGTGCAAAATTAACTTTGCCATAAGAAACAATGTTCTGAGGGGATGCATTCCTGGCCAGTAATTCTAGGAGTACTTGAGTTGATTTTTCATACAGAAACACTTAAAAATCAGTAAAAATAATATGAAATATATGAATTGCAATATACACAGTGGTCCCTCGGTTAACGAACGGTTCGATTAACGAAATTTCGGTTCACGAATTACCTCCCATAAGGATCTTAAATTCGGTTAACGAACAAAACTTCGATTAACGAAATCCTTACGACAAACACGTTTTGTTGTGAGCATCAGCTGATGGGCTAGTCTGCCAATACAGTAATCTGTTCTATGTTTACATTCGTTTCCAGTGGAGTAAATATCAAGAAAATTTTGCTCTTTAATATTTGTGCATTTTTTATATTAAAATTATTGGTCATTCTAAAATTTAGCCATCCAAGTTCTGTCTGCATAAAGTTTTTCAACTATTATTTTTGGCTCGATTATGTAACTTTATTCATTTATTGAAACTCATTTACATGCACACACTGTCCTAAGGGCAAAGCTGTACTGTACATGTAATCAAACTAATGTACAAAATGATTACTAGAATTTTTGTCTAATGCAAACTATAGCATGTTTACATTCAAATTTATCACTTATCTTATAAGAATTCCAGCAATGTAAATTATATTCTCCCCGGTCACTTCTATGACATTTTATAAGCAAAAACAATAACTCAATCTAAAGGACATAAATAAACAAATAAATACTTCACTAGACCTTCAGCGCTAACTGTCAAACATGTCACTGTCGCCTCCCCTTCCTCTCCCCCCGTCACTGTCACCTCCCCTTCCTCCTCCCACCCCCCCCCTCCCACCCAGGGTTTGGTGGTTATACAGTAGGCTTTAAGTTTTTATCTTATATAATATCACAGACTAAAGTTAGGAGAATATAATTTGCATTGCTGGAATCCTTGCAAGACAGTGAATAATTTGAATATAAACGTCACATATTTTGCACAAGAGATAAAATTTTTAGTACTGTACTGTACATAGTTTAGTACATTTTAGTAATGTAAAGTTTTTCAACTGTATTTTTGGGTAGATTTACATAAATTTCTTCATTTATTTTCATTCATTTAAATGCACACACAATACTAAAAGAAACAAAAAGAAATAATGACCTAAGTGCAAACCTGTACTGTACATGTACTAAATGATTACTGTACTAAAATTGTTGTCTAATGTAAATTATAGCTTGTTTATATTCAAATTAATCACTATCTTACAAGAATCCCAGCGATGTAAATTATATTCTCCCCGGTCATTTCACTGGCATTTTAAAATGAGAGAAGCTTAGTCACTTAAGGACTGATAAATAAACACACATGAGACCTTCGGCTCCAACTGTCAAACATATCACCTCACCTCCCGCCCACGTTCCCCACCCTCCCTCCCTCCCTCCCTCTCCCCAGCCAGGGTTTTAGGCTTACAGTTTTTATCTTATATAATATCTCAGACTAAAGTTAGGAGAAAATAATTTTCATTGCTGGAATCCTTGCAAGGCAGCGAATAATTTGAATATAAACGTCATATATTTTGCACAAGAGATAAAAATTAATCACCTGTATCACAATACAGTAAAGTAGTGATTTAAGAATAAGAGTGTATATGTACGTATGTACAATATATATATACAGTAGTACCCCGATTTACGCGGTTAATTGAACCCACAGGCTACCGATGAAAGTGAAAACCGCGTAAAGTGAACAACAGAACATATGGGATTAATTCCAATGGAGAATGGCCCGACCCCCAAACTCAACTTTTTCCGACACAATACCTATGTTGTAGTAAAAATAACATCTAAATTTTATGATGGTATGCTCACACAATTAATATTTAAGAGAAATACAGTCGCCAAGTTAATGTCCATTCAAATAATGGACTCAAATCCCCCCCCCCTCTTCCCAGCTCACTAGCTCCTACCTCTCTGAGAAATGTTTGGGTGAAAACACTAGATTTTAACGTTTAGTAATAAATAATACCTCGGACTAAAGTTAGGATAATATAATTGACATTTCTGGATTCCTTGCAGGTCAGGGAATGTTTTGAATGTAAACTTCATATATTTTGCACAAAAGATAAAATATTTGCTTTGTGTAAAACAAATTATTACATTAGATCTAAAATTTGTATGTCTAATGCAAAATCCATGATGTTTATATTCAAAATGATCATCATATTGTAAGAATTCCAGCAATGTAAATTATATTCTGGCCGGGTAATTTGTATGAATTTTATGAGCTAAATAAAAAAATAAAAAATTATACTTCACCGCGTATATGAGTAGATGCACCGCGGAAAGTGAAAGTCCGGTTCTGGCAAGGCACCGCGTAAATGAGAAATCGCAGATAAGTGAAACCGTGTAAAGCGGGGTAATACTGTATAGTGATTTAAGGGCGATTTAGGAGTGTTTTTGACTTTATGTGTTTTTGGCTTTACTTTGTATGTACTTTTCTGTGAGCTGGAACCAATTACCCAATATCCCATTGAAATAATTGATTCGGCTTATGAAATTTTCGGTTAACGAACGACTGTGTGGAACGAATTGTGTTCGTTAACCGAGGGACCACTGTATTTCAATTGAGGGGTGTGTGAATGTCCTTCCTCTTATACTTATGTATCAACTTATGCATCTGCACTTCTAGAAGGATTGTCAACTGACAACCTGCCACCACCATATACACTCAGTCTTAATTTATTATTTCCACCTCTTTTCAATTTACTAGCTATTCATGTGGTCACTCTGTACTTTTTTTATGACTCTCATTTTCCAATGTTAGGTGTTAGTACAGGATGAAACCAAAATGCCTGCAAAAAGCCTGTGATGTTTGGTAGGGTCACATTAGAACTTTCCCACGAACATGGGCATCCACTGGAACTTCTCTGGGAGGGGTGGATAAAAGCCCACTTTGATAAAATCCTCTCAGTTAAAGTGCATAGTAGGACAAAATCCAGCCCTTTTTTATACAGGTTTTTAATGTTTCTCAAAGTTGGGTTAGATTTGGTTTGGTTAGGTTAGGTTAGGTTTTTCTCCTTGAGGGATTTTGTTCTACGGAGTTATTACCTGAATGTATTTTTTCCTAGGAGGATTTTTTCCTAAACTTGGCAAGGGGACAGGCTAGCTCCAAGGTCGGATTTGGTACGCTTAATGTTTTAGCAGGTGCTTTGCTAGGTCTTATTACTATACAGTATACTGTACATCAAATTTGTATGCATTCATTAAGATGGGGTTACATAAAACAATTATATTGCATTGTATTTTATTGTGTACAACAATTATAAAAAAATAAATTTTGCTAGGTAGGTACAATCTTACACATTAACAACTTTCATAAAC